CTTTCTATTATTTTTGGTGAAATTGTAAGTGGGATTGTTTTAATTTCTCTTTTTATTATTAGTGTATAAAAATGCAACAAATTTCTGTATATTGATTTTGTATGCTGTGACCTTACTGAATTCACTAATCAGTTTTAGCAGTTTTTTGGTGGAGTCTTTAAGGGTCTTCTATATATAGTATCATGTCATTTGCAAATAGTGAAAGTTTTATTTCTTCCTTACAAATTTGGATGCTTTTTACTTCTTTTTGTTGTCTGATTGCTAGGACTTCCAGTATTATGTTGAATAAAAGTGATATGAATGGACATCCTTGTCTTGTTCCTGATCTTAGGGGAAAAGCTCTCAGTTTTTCACCATTAAATATGATGTTAGCTGTGGGTTTTTAAATATATGGCCTTTATTATGTTGAGGTATGTTTCCTCTAACCTTACTTTGTTGAAGGCTTTTATCATGAATGGATGTTGTCCTTTGTCAAATGTGTATTCTGCTGTTTTAGGATGCAATGTTCTGCATATATCTGTTACATCCATCTGGTCCAATGTGTCACTCAAAGCCACTGTGTTTTTGTTGATTTTCTGTTTGAATGATCTATCCATTGATGTAAGTGGGTGTTCAAGCCCCCCACTATTTTGTATTACTGTTGATTACTTTGTTACTAGCTGCTTTTTGTATTTGGGTAATCCCATGTTGTGTGTGTAACTATTTATAAATGTTATAACTTCTTGTTGGACTGTTCCCTTGATGATTATGTAGTGTCCTCCTTTGTCTCTTGCTACAGTCTTTGTTTTGAAGTCCATTTTTTCTGATGTAAGTATTGCTACCCAGCTTTCTTTTCACTTCATTTGCATGATAAATGTCTTTCCATTCCTTTGCTTTCAATGTGCACATGTCTTTAGATCTAAATGAGTCTCTTGTAGGCAGCATATAGATGGGTCTTCTTTTTTATTCATTCTGACACCCTATGTCTTTTGATTGGAGCAATGGTCCATTTACACTCAAAGTGATTATTGATAGGTATGTACTTGTAGCCATTTTGTTACTTGTTTTATGGTTGATTTTGTAGTTCTCTGTTCCTTTCTTATCTTACTCTCCTCTCACATGGTTTGCTGGCTTTCTTTAGTGACATACCTGGATTCCATTCTCTTTATTTTTTGTATTATCACTGATTTTATTATTTGTGGTTACCGTTAGTTTTGTATAAAACATCTTATATATATATATAGCAGTCTATATTAAATTGATGGTTGCTTAATTATGAACTCATTCTTTACTCCTCTCCCATTTTAGGTATATGGTGTCATATTTTACATTCTTTTATTTCGTGAAATCCTTGACTGATTTTTATAGATACAATTTTATTGCTTTTGTGCTTCCTACTTTTTTTACTCCTGCTTATGGTCTTTCCTTTTCCTCAAAGACTCCCCTTTAACATTTCTTGTAAGGCTGGCTTTGGGGTCATGTATTCCTTTAACTTTTATTTGGGAAACTCTTTATCTCTCCCTCTATTCTGAATGATGGCCTTGCTGGGTAGGGTATTATTGGCTGCCAGAGTATTATTTTTTTCCTCTTAGCACTTTGAATATATCATGACAATCTCTTCTGGCCTGCAAAATTTCTGCTGAAAAATGAGCTGATAGCCTTATGGGGTTTCCTTTGTATGTAACTGTTTTCTTTTTTCTAGCTACTTTTAAAATTCTCTTGTTACCACTGCTTTTTTCAGTTTTAATTACTGTGTCTCTTGGTGTGGACCTCCTTGGGTTGATTTTGCTGGGGTCTTTCTGTGCCTCCTGGACCTGGATTTCTGTTTCCTTCCCCAGATTTGGGAAGTTTTCAGCTATTTCTTCAAATATATTTTCTCCCATTTCTCACTCTTCTCCTTCATGGATCCTTATAAAGCAAATGTCATTATACCTGATGGTGTCACTGAGTTCTCAGTCTAATTTCAATTTTTATTATGTTTTTCTCTCCTGTTCAGTTTGACTGCTTTCCATTACTGTTCTTCAGGTTACTGATCTGTTCTTTTTCCTCTAGTCTAGTATTTATTCCAACTACATGACCCCAATAAGTATTTTTAATTTCAGTTACTGAGTTCTTCATCTCTGATTGGTTTTCTGTCTCTTTGTTGAGGGTATCACTGAGGTCCTCCATTCTTTTCATAAGTCCAGTGAGTATCTTTGTGATTACATTACTTTAAATTCTCTATCAAGCATTTACTTATCTCCATTTTGTTTAGTTCTCTTGCTGTGATTTTGTCCTTTTCTTTCATTTGGAACATATTTCTCAGTGTCTGTTTCTAGGTGTTAGGAAAGTCAGCTACATCTCCTGTTCTTCAAAGTAGTGGCCTATGAAGAAGAGGTTCTGTGGTGCCCTGTAATGCAATGTCCCTTATTCACCAGAACCTGGTACTTAAGGGGTGTCTCATCTTTTGTATTTTGTGCACCCTACTATTATGGTTGAGCCACTTTTGCCTCCAGTCCAGTCACCTGCATTGTCTTTTTGCCTGTTGTGGGTAGGGTTTTGATCCTGTCTTGTTAGTGTGCTAGTCTGGGACTGCTTTGGGCTTGAGTTGGAGTCACACCAGGCATTTGCCAGAGATACTATAGCACCAAACTGCTGGACACTTATCCTGTGTTGTCGTCTGAGAAGCTCTGGTTGGTGGGTGGGGCCTGTTGTCAGACTACATGTCTGCCCCAGCCCACTGCTAGGGCTGCAGGTGGACTGGTGTGTGTGGGAGTCACTTTGGAGTGGTGCTGCTCTCTGTTGTAGCTGCATGTACCCTCTCAGGCCTGTGGAACTGCGTTAGGTGGGTTCCTGCCAATGGGGTATTGGAGGGGCAGTTCATGTGGTGTTACCAAGGTTTGTGCAGGTCTGCTGTGGGAGACGACTTGGAGCTAAGGCCTGCTTGGAGGGCTGTGTCTGAAGGAGAATGTGGGGTGGGGCAGAGTGTTAGCAAGTTAGGTCATGAGTGTTGGCACTGTACTGTTTCCCACAGGTGTCCATGTGTCTAGGCTGAGGGGGTGGGGTAGGGAAATGGCACCTGCCAGCTCTTTTATTCCTGGAGAAGTATCCCGAAGATCCCTGTCCCTCTAGCACATGCTCTGAGGTAAGTAAACAAATCTCCCTCCTGAATACCCCGTATGTTTTTCAAACTGCTGTTTTCATGCTGTATCTCAGTGGGGCTGTTTGTTGTGCTGTTTCTGTAAGGGTGGGGTTTCTTTAAGGACTGAAGTTTCCTGTTGCCCACCTGGCTCTCCCAGAGTTGAGCCTACTGATTTTTAAAGTTCCAAGTATTAAGGCCTGTTGATTATGCCCCTCTTGTTTTCTTGCAAGTTCTCCAGGCCTGGGGTGCTTGGTGTGAGGGTCTGGTACTCTTTCCTTTCCACATTCATGGCATTCCTCCCTATAGCAAATAGTCCCACCAGTCCATTTAGCTCCCAATCTCATCTCTGCCCTTCCTACCCTCCTCTTGTGGGGTAGGACAAGGATGTGTCCTCTTCTCCACATTTAGCTATGAAGAGTCTGTTCTGCCAGTCTTTGGGTCGTTTTCTGATGCAGGTGTTATCTAGTTGTATCCACGGGATGAGGTGATCATAGGATCCTCCTACTCCACCATCGTCCCTGGAAGTCTACATTGTTTACTTTTCTCATATGTTAAGTCAATCTTGCATTTCTGGGATAAATTCTGTTTGGTCATTGTGCACAATCCTTAAATAGGTTGTGGGATTCAGTTTGCTAATATTTTGTCTTTTTGTCTTAATTCTTAATAGATTCAGATCTTGGTTAAAAAAAAAAATTGGCCCCTGGAATCCTAACAGTTGCCTTTCTTGAGATAATTTCTCTGGTACTCCCCTATCCCCAAACAACTCCTATATAATCCCATAACACAGCAGGTAGCATTGATCCCATTATGTTTCTGTTGTCTCTTTACTTGTCACTCTATTTGCTGAGAATAGACTGTATTTCCACTGTATCCTAGTATCTAGCACAATCCCTAACAGTATAACTTGAGCCTTCTGGGAAGCAGATAACCATCAGATTTTTAAAAGAACATGAACAAACATGGTAAGGAGATTATATAACAAAGACTGATAAGAGAGTGGTTGAGACATAGAAGAATAGTGTCAGGAAGGTTAAAATATCGAGTTAAGATATGAATAAATATTGACAACAAGATGTAAATTTTACTTAGCTATATTCAGAATGAATATATATCACAGAATGTTTAAATCTGTACTGCTGGGATTATTTTAATAATCATCCTGATGGATGACAAAGAGCAGAATCCCTCAGCTCTTAAGTTGCTTCTGTCTTTCTATCAAATAGAGTTTTCTTCTCTCTAGAAAGGGGAGAATAAATATTGGTAAGAGATGACAGAAGTCAAAAGGCTCTGAATGAGTTATTTCTAGTCCCATACATATTGTATCTCAAGTAAGGAAAGAATTTACATATAAGATCACAAAACCACTGACAAAAAAAAAAATTTTTTTTTTTTAAGAATTCAAGGAAGTGACTCTCTGCTAAGTGCCCAATTTTGTCATTTAAGGCTGCATCATAATTTAAGGATCAATTCCTTCAAGAAAACATTCCCCAAGATTTCCAGGCTGGATTTGATCCTGTTCTCTGAACAATCAGAGTAGTTTGTGCATATCATTATCACTCAATCTAACTCACTCTTCTTGAAATGAACTGTATATGAGTCTTACTAAAATTCAATACCTACTCCTTAAATGATGAGTAGCTATTCTAGTTAAAGAGAGGGAGAATTATGTTTCAGGCAAAGAAGACCGCAGGAGCAAAGGCATAGTGTGGTAAAACTGATATATTCTGAGGCTACAAGATCATCTTTGCTGAGGTCTAAAGTAAAAGGCAGAGAATGGCAAGAGGTAAAACTGGAGAGGTAGTCAGGAACCAGTTCATTGGAAGTCTTGTACATCATGTTATATAACTTGGTTTCTATGCTGTAGCAAGTGGTTGTCAAAAAATCTTTTTCTTTTAAACAGATTATCGAAAGAAAGCAAGCTATGTGGATGAAGAAGGGTTTGATGGGCTAGGTCCTAACTGTTTGGCCTTTCACCATCTCTCAGGATAGCTCCCGAAGTGGTGAGTTACTAAGTATGGTCTGCAAATTGCCAACATCAGAATTATCTTTTTTTTTTTTTTTAAAGATTTTATTATTTGACAGAAACACAATGAGAGAGGGAACACAAACAGAGGCAGAAGGAGAGGGAGAAGCTGGCTTCCCGCAGAGCAGGGAGCCCAATGTGGGGCTCGATCCCAGGACCCCAGGATCATGACCTGAGCCCAAGGCAGACACTTAACAACTGAGCCACCCAGGCGCTCCAGCCAACATCACAGTTATCTTAAGTACCTTCTAAAAAATGTAGATTCAGGGGTTGACTACAAAGACCGGCTCAAAACCAGAAGCTGGGGTTTCCATAAACTTCCCAGGTAATTCTCACGTGTATTAAAACTTTAAAACCAAACATTCTATAAGACAACAGGCCCATGATTTTCAAAAATGCCAGGGCTGTGCATGACAAGGAAAGGCTAAGCGGCTATTTCAAACTGAAAGAGAATAAAGGGATGTGGCATTTAAATGTGATTTTTGGGGCGCCTGGGTGGGTCAGTTGGTTAAGCATCTGCCTTCAGCTCAGGTCATGGTCCCAGGGTCCTGGGATCGAGTCCCACATCGGGCTCCCTGCTCCGCGGGGAGTCTGCTTCTCCCTCTGCCTTTATCCCTGTCCCCTGCTTGTGCACTTGCTTGCTCTCTCAAATAAAAAAAAAAAAAAAAAATCTTAAAAAAAATGCGACTTTTGCTCTAAAGGACATTATTGCTACATTTTGTATATCAAAGTTGAATTTCCTGATTTTAATGTAAGACAGTGTTCTTGTTCTTGGAAAATATATGTTGAAGCTGTTAAGGAATAAAGACACGATGTCTGCAAAAAAATGGATTGGGGGGAATATTAGGTAGAGTTCTTCATACTATCCTTGAAATTATTTCAAAATTAAGAGTTAAATTTTTGTAGGCTAATTTTTTTTTTTTTTTAAGTTTTAGGACTGTGCCAACTTCAAACCCTGCTAGGAAACTAGGAATTAGTGAAAGTCTTTAGGTAGTCGTTTTACATAATCTGATTGGTGTTTTTGATGACTTTTATGGTAGTATGAAAAGTGGAATTAGGATGACAATATTGGTGGCAAGGAAGCCAATTAGAAATCTCGTAAACAGGTGATAAGAGTCTGAAAAGAATGATGACAGTTAAAATGGAGATGAAGAGATTCTGAGGCAAAAATCACTGGATTCAGTGGCTGACTGAATCTGAGGGATGGAAATGAAAGGACGACAAACGGTAACTGTCATGTTGCTAGCTTGAAACGGGTGGTTATGTAGATAGTACTGCTGCCAAGGTTATGGAGAATACAAGAGGAACAGCATTTAGTGTAGAATTAGATGAACTTGAATTTGGATATGTGGGACATCTCTGTGGAGATGTTTAAGAGATTGTTAAATATAAGTCTAAAGCTTTGACAAGAGGTCAGATGCATATTTATAGATATGTCCATCTGTATATGCATACATATAAATATATCGAGAGTACAACATGACACAAGATCAAGAGTTCATGAAAGGCTGAATATAAGATGATTTAATTTAGCAAGAATAAATTTAAGGCCCAGAACACTGAACCAAAATACCAACTGAAGCCGAAGACGGAGGAGACACTAAGCAGCAACACAATGAAAACAAAACTTTACAGGTTTGAGTATACACAAATCGAATTTATCAATGCTTTAGGATAGGTTCCAAAAGACAGATGCAACCTTAGGCTGCATTAATGGAAAACGAGTATCTAAAAAGCAGCAAATGAGAGTGATGATTTATTGTACACCTACTAGCCGACATCTGTAGTACTGTGTTCAGTTTCATTCAAGCTTGAACAGTGACAGGAGAGAATAAAATCAGGTGGAAAAGGACTTGAATCATGCTATATTGTGGATGGCTGAAAGAATGGAAGGAAAGTTTCCGGGAAATACAGGATAGCTTTAAAAAAATACTATCTTGGAAGAGGCATTACAAGGAGAATCTCATTTGTTCTCATTTTTCAAGGAGCATCAGGGAAAATGAGTCTGTCAGAAATATTTACCTTTAAGGTTATTCTGCTTTTTATTTTGTGTAATTAAAGAGGTGGATGAACTTTACAGGGGCACATGTTTTTAGCTCAACATAAAAAACATTTTCAGTGCTACAGCTCTCTAGCAATGGAATGAACTGTATGGCAACCAGGTAAACTACTTGTCACCAAGCGCAGTGAAGCAAGGGCTGGATGAAGCTGGATGCTGGAATGAATAGGTGAGGCTAGAGGACTCTCAAGGGCTTCTCTCTTCTTTAGGAGTCATGAGATGGGAATGAAGAGGTTAGACAATGAGGTATTTTTTTAATTTTGACTATGTAAAAATTACAAGCAATTTGACATATGAAATTCTACTGGCTTCCTTTATGAATTTCTAGAGCTAGAGAGAAAAATAAAAATTTGAGATACACAAATTTCTGAGAAGGTGAATTTCTCCTTGGCTATTGGTTTGAAGATAATCTAGTTTCTTACACGTAAATCTTGATCAGATACATATGGTTAAATAACTCACATTCAGATGATTTGTGAGCACTCATTACTGTCTATATCCCTAGTTTACTCACCCAAACCTTGATTAGGGAATGGTCTTCTGAAATAATCAAATATATAATTATCTGATACATGTGGCTTTATATCTAGAAAAGATGATAAAAATCATTAGTAGCATGAAAATAATTTTTTACACTTCCTATTTTTTCTTTTTCTAAACAAAAAAGGCTAGAAGGTAACATGTAGTTTAGCTCAATAAATTAATACAGACAGTTCTCAAATATGAATTTTTGTTGCATTTTTGCTCTTTATGGTAAAAGTCTTAAAAATGTTCATACCCTTTGGGTCAGCAATTCCTTTCTAGGAATCTATCATAAATAAGAATATACACAGAGTTATAAGGTATTCATTATTGTAACAGAAAATAAGCAAAATTAACAATGGAGGTAGCTAAATTTAAGGTTCACTACTACAATGGAATACTTTGCCACCATTTAATAACATATGTAAAGAAGTTTATAATATACTGTAATTTTAAATGAAAATGTAGGTTGCAAAACATGAACATTCTGTGATTAACATGGAATATATGTGCTCAGACTTAGAAAAAGGTCTAAAATAAGTATTCTAAAAGGTGCTTTTCAGTTCTGATTTTTGATAAATTTTCAACAGAATATATTAAAGTTATATATAAAAAGTGATTTTCTTGTATGATCACTATGAGAAAGAGTAGTTAAATTTCAAGTCAATTAACCTTACTAGGTATAATAGAATTTTCCTCTTTCCTTGGTGTGGTTCTTATTCCCATTTCTATTTCTAGTTAGCCTGCTAGATCATAAACTAAATGGATATATATACATGTATATATATTTTTTTAATTAGGTTATCTCAAATCCTTCTTTGGAAATAAGTGTGGTATAAATGTATAGTAATGCAAGTAGAGTTAGGACCATACCACCCTGAATGGCCCAATCTCTGATCTCGGAAGCTAAGCAGGGTTGGGCCTGGTTAGTACTTGGATGGGAGTAATGCAAACAGAGAGTCAAATTCATATCCAACTTAGCAGATTCCAGCAGAAGCAAATGAATAGTCCACAATTTTATTCTCCTGGGCTCGTCCTCTATTAAGAAATGAGAAGACCAAGATGGTTTCTAAAACATAAAATCCCTATATTGTTTGGGGAAAAACCTCTCAAATCAGAGATCTCCATCAGGTTCATGAACCACTCACTCCAACCCTCCAGTGTAGTTGACCACTCCTTCCTCGTGCTCTCTAGGAACCCAGTCTAGAATACTGGCATTGCACCTGTAATATTGCACTTAATTTGTTTACTTGTTTTTCTCCCCCTATTAAAAGATGAGCTCCTGAGAGTAAGAAATGGTATAGTATACTTCTTAATATCCCTAGCACCAGGCACACTGGAAACCTCAAAGTTGTGGCAATGAATGAATTGTTGAGAGGGTAGAAGCAGAATATTACCTTTCACATCAGAATTTGATTCTCTATGTCTTTGCACTAAACGTCCTTTATCACATGCCTAATGGAACACAGAACCAAAAGGAAAACAATACTATGTTATAAACATGAAAATGCGGTATATTTCCTATATCATCCTTGGTATAGTTTTCAACATTTCTCATTTTATCATCAGAGGTTTAGAGTAGACAAAAATCTCTCTTAAATCAGAACCTCCTAATGCCTTTCATAACACTACTTTTCTCCTGCAGCAATGAGAAGAAGAAAATATTGATATTTTGGCACTACTAGGAGTTAAATTTTTTTACTTCATATAGAATTTATTTACAGGGAGAAAGAGAAAAAGTATGCTTACAATCTCATTTAAATGAGAATAAAGATGTAGGAAGGTAAGAATATGAAATATAAAAAAGATGAAAAATATTTTCTCATAGCTTGTCCAAGTCCAGAGTAAGAGCATACACATGACTGCTTTCTACCTTGAAAAAGAAGTTGTCAATAATGACCCAGCTAGACTAAATGAGACATAAAACATTGTAGAATTATAACAAATCCTGAATAGTCTATAAATCATGTGACCAAACTTTTTCAAGAAGTTTGTTTTCAAACTTTTGTTTCTCCATCTGTGGTATGTGGATATTATAAAGAAATTTCCAAAAGGGCAATGGAAAGGAAAAAAATATTGAAAATGTCAATTTTTTGCCAACATGTTATGCATATCAACTCATGATGAAAAGTGGACTATGAAATAGTTAAAAACTAAAATTACCTTCTTTGTAGATAAATTTGGGAACAAAAAATTTAATATAATCATTATGAAAATGAAATTATAAAAAATCAAAACTTGATTGTTGAAGGCACAGAGAAAGGAAATATTCTATAAAAAATTATACAAAGTTAAAAGTAACAGTATTATATAATCACTAGAATTTGGAGAGACAAAAGGTAAAATTAGGCTAGAGAAATTCACTTGTGATAAGACCTGATTTGATGAACTCAGTC